TAAACTTTTATTGTGGTGGAATTTAATCGGGGCGGAGGTAATTCAAACGCGGCGCAACGATTGAAACAGGGGGGAGTTTTCCCAAACGGGGCGCGGGCGCCCCGTTTGCGCAACATAGGGAGAACCCTGGTATATACATGCATATATATAATATATATACATATACATGTAAGTAGCACAGCATGAAATTTGCATGTGACCACACACTAGCCACTTCATTCGCTGTTGGATCACTTGTAAAGGCCCACGTGCCTGTACTAAAGTGTACTTGTATGTAATTGTGTAAGCTGATCCTGAATTTTGTTTCCTTGTAGTGTATGGACATGCATTTAAAGGTGATATAGTACCAGGAAACAGGTATGTACTATTAGATAACAGTTATTTATATGTGCACATGTTCACTGCTGGTATAAGTTGGTACTTGTGTATTCAGTGGCTGAATATTACCATAGACTAAGAATAGATCGTGTCACAGAACAATAAGATTTTCCATGATTATCCTTGAGTCTCCTTCATTCCTATTATTCATGCCATAAAGTTGTAGCATGTGTAGCAAGTGTATTTCGTGCTTCACTGGTAGATATTGGTTGTAGTTACTAAACTGTGTCGCAGAAAGGTTAGGAATTTTCATGATTTCTATCGGGATACACTTCAGAGTGTAGTAAGTTTATGCATTTGTCTTTCAGGTTAGCATTTAATAACGATCGAGCACCTGCTAATATTCATTATAGAGCTGACATGCAGCAGCAGCAGTCACCGTTGGTGCACCCAGCCTCACAGGAAAGTAGTCGGACGCATAACAAATTTGTACCGTCTGACTTTGGTGCCCAGCAGTGTGAAAAGAAGATGAAGGACCTTGAAGAAAGGCTATCGAATATAGAACAAGAGTAAGTAGTTATACATATATATATATGTACATCAAACTGTAAAAACAACATGATAGTGTTGAAATCGTCAAAAGGAAACAGCTGGGAATATTAAGGCATGTTGAGTAGGCATGTCGGGGGATTTATGGGATGTCGCTAGTAAAAAGATGTCTAACCTGACATGCCTTAGAGAGGCGGGGGATAACCCAGCACTTCCATTCAGCTGTATGTTGTTCAAAATGCTGTGATACATGTCTATACAATGTAGTTGTGCAGCACAAGATCATATCTTCAAGAGTACATAAGCTGCGTTCACACGAGATACACGGCCTCGCTGGTTCCGTACTTATCTGGTGCTGAATTCGGCTGAAATACCGTGCTAACACAACCTGGAGCGTTCACACGAGATTCGAGGCTTAGCTGGCTAGGTATAATATAGACTGGTACCCGGTCGACAGTTCCACACGCTACACTAACGTCGTGTAGCGAACGGGTACCAGTCTAGGTAAGCGCACTACAGTTTCGCAATTCGAAATTGCGTTCACACGACAGACAATACGCGGCCAGCGTGGTGCCGAATATACGCGCCTTATTCAGTACTGTACTGAAATACGCGGCTTACTCGGCGCGGAATGTGATTCCCGCGCCGAGTAAGCCGCGTATTTCAGTACGGTACTGAATAAGCCGTGTATATTTTTACCGTGTGAACGCTCAAGTACGGTACTGAAATCCTCGTGTGAACGCAGCTATAATTCTCTATTATGTACTCTTGATATCTTGGAACTATACCTGTGTTCAATTTATAAAATCTTGTCTGGTAATACCTCAATTAGAGTAAATTTAGAAGCACTGAGTTAAAAATTTGAATAACGGTCAATGGAATAATAACGAAAATGAAAATGAAAATTTATATTAAATTTATATCATAATTAAACCTACGTACCTTCACTACTGAACTACATTATTTAAATAATAACTTAACAGTGATGACAAAGAGTTGTTTGCGCCAAACTGTTATACCTGCTCACATACAGACATAGGACAACTTTTAAGTTTTGTTTACATAGTAATTGTGTATTTTCAGAAGAAAAACGTACCCAGAAACAAAGTATTTAACATACAAGGACAAGAAACGAATTTTGGTAAGAAGACATGATTATGTAAATGCTAGAACCTGTGAAAATTATTGCATTATGAGCATAATGCACAACATATCAGCAGAGATTTGCTTAGATAGTTTTTCTGTGGTAGATGTGTCATAAAAAAATAATTGTTTTAATGTGATTAAATTTAATTATGTCAATGTGAAAAAATTGGTCATTAGGCATGTGATCCTTATAGTACTCCATACATATATGACTTTTTTTTAATTTTAACTATGTTTTTTGTCTTCTTGTCTGTTTTCTAACCAAAACACCAATAAAAAATATGCTACAAAGTTCAGCATACATTTTTACAACTTATTTGAGACTTAGTTTTTAGCAAAAGTTTAAGACTGTAAACAAAAAAAATCATTTATATAAACCCATCTTGTTGAGTTATTCGTCCCATTCTGTTGAACTATTATTACCATTATTTTTAATCATTATGGAATCTCAGGGCCAGCATGAACATTTTGTGGAGATGTTCTTGTATTTGTCAGGTAACAGGCGGTGCAGGCTTCGTTGGCTCCCATCTAGTAGATGCCCTGATGATGCGTGGCCATGAAGTGACAGTCGTTGACAATTTCTTCACGGGACGAAAGCGTAACATAGTACACTGGATAGGACATGAAAACTTTGAACTGCTACACCACGACATTGTGAACCCATTGTATATAGAAGGTAATTTTTATATTATAAATTTAACGTATTTTATCACGACTATGTGAATACATTTCATCAAGGGCGTATTAAGAAGGAGAGCGTACAACGGTGAAATGCTGAAACCATGTTGCAGTATTAGTCGAATTAAAAAACTGCCCGTTTTATTTTGAGTGGCGGCTCATGGAACCGTGCGCACGAATGCATAGGCCAGCGCACGCGAATCCATAGCTGGCCAGCGAAACAGTCCGGAATTTTAGGAGGTGACACCGAGGGCCAGATATTATTTGGACGTGGGAGCTAGGAACTTTGCGCACTTAGATGGGGGGTCGTAACAATTCCCCTTAGGGGGGTCATTTGCGGAGGGATGGATTTGGGGGGAGGACATATTTGGGGGCACCCTATTGGGGATAAAATATTTTAGGGGGGGGCCGGGGCGGTTCGCTATCTGGGAATTTCATTCTTTATACTGTAAACCAGCTAATAAGAGTACTACTAATACTCACTACTAGTAGTAGTAGTCAGTCAGTAGTCAGTATACGTAGTAGTAGTATAGTAGCCACTACTTAGTAACCGCGCTAACTAGTATAGATACTACTATAACCATAGTAGTAGTAGTAAGTAAGTCAGTACTCACTGTAGTACTAACTCACTGTGTAAGTAGTACTGCAGTAGTACTAGTAGTAGTACTACATAGTAGTAGCTACGGCTCAAGGGTCGGAAAGCAGTCGAGTAATAAACCTACTAGTCCACGTTAAGTAGTACTAGTACACTAGGACTTACTGTACTCGTAGTAAGTAGTAGTAGTAGTAGTAGTATATAGTAGTACGTAGTAGTAATGTAGTAGTAATAGTAGTAGTAGTCTAGTTACTGGTGGGGAGGGTAGTAGCCATAAAGTTATAAGTACTTACTAAGATAGCGAGGTCACTAGGATAATCACACAGTAGACCTAGTTCTATGAAGATA